TCAAAGATAGGAGAGATCCCAGACCTGCAAGAAGCTTAGTGAGGGTGGTGGAGTGCAGAGGAGAGAGAGGAGGTGGAGAAATGTGCAGAGGTGAGATGAAGAAGGAGCTCTCATGCCATGCTGAGGAGTGTGGATTTTAGCCATTGAGAACTGGGGAGAGATGCATTTAAGGATTATTAGTAGAGGAGTGATGTAAGTAGAATTTACATTTTGTAAAGAGTACTCTGGTAAATAGCATATTTCTAGGGAATTTAATTGTTCCCAAAGGTCTCACATAATGACCACAGAATTTTAGAGTGGGGAAGAGGATGTGGAGTATAGATCGGTGTTTCTCAAACTTGAATGTGCATCACCTGGAGGGCTTGTTAAAACAGGTTGCTGAGGGCTTCCCTGGTGGCACAGTGGTTAAGAATCCTCCTGCCAATGCAGAGGACACAGCATTGAGCCCTGGTCTGGGAAGATCCCACACGCCGTGGAGCAACTAAGACTGTGTGCCACAACTACTGAGCCTGCGCTCTAGAGCCCGTGAGCCACAACTACTGAAGTCCACGTGCCTAGAGCCCGTGCTCCGCAAGAAGAGAAGCCACTGCATTGAGAAGCCTGAGCACCGTACCAAAGAGTAGCCCCCAGTCGCTGCAACCAGAGAAAGCCCAAGCGCAGCAACGAAGACCCAAAGCAGCCAAAAATAAATAAATAAATTTATTAAAAATAAAGTATTCTATAAAAAAACAGGTTGCTGAGACCCACCCACAGAGCTTTTGCATCAGTAGAACAGGGGCAGGTCCTCAGAATTTGCATTTCTAATAAGTTCCCAGGTGATGCTAATGCTGCTGGCAGGGGCAGCACTTTGCTCACTGAATGATGCGGTAGGAAGAACAGTGGCCCCCGGAGATGTCCATGTCCTAATCCTTGGAACCATGAATATATTATGCTGGATAGAAAATGGGAATTAGGGTTTTGAATAGAATTAATTTATAATTAAGTTATTAATTAATAGATCAGTAGAGTGAGATTGCTAAAGAGCTGACCTGAACATAGGGAGAGTAGCCTGGATTATCCAGGTGGGCCCAATATAATCACAAGGGTGCTTAAAATGGTAAGAGAGACAGAAGAGGAGAATCAGAGGGAGCTGTGACTATTGTAGAACGGGCAAAGAGATGCAACGTTGCTGGCTTTGAAGATGGAGGAAGGGGGCTGTGAGTCAAGAAATGTGAGCAGCTTCTAGAGGCTGGAAAAGGTAAGAAGATAGATTCTCACCTAGAGTCTCCAGAAGGAACACGGCCTGCTAACACCTTGATTGCAGCCTACTAAAATCCGAGTCGGATTTCTAATTTACAGGACTGTTAGATAATACAGATGCATTGTTTTAAGCCATTAAGTTTGTGGTAATTTGTTACAGCAGCAAAAGGAAACCAATACAAATGTCTCCAGGGAAGTGATGGGTACTGGGAGCCCTATGGTAAAAACCGACCTGGTCAATGACTGCCAGCTTCCCTAGTTTTTTCCCTCACGTCCAACTCAGGACCAACAGAGAAAGCCAAATGTGCTTCCAAAACGATCACATAAGGTGCCCTGCCTCCAGCTTCCCCAAGCCAACAGCTGCCCACCAGAGCACTCCTGAAGCCTTCCCCTTTTTTTCCCTATAAAGCTCTCCACTGCCCTGCCTGCCTTTGAGTCTCTGCCAATCACAGGGGATGGTGCCCGACTCCCTTGCTATGGGAAGCTCTGAATAAATAGCCTCTGTTTATTCTCATTTGGGTGATCTGTGTTGATTTCCACAAGAGATGGTGCTCTATTCTTTTTTGTTTTACTTACTGATTATCCTAATGCAGCAGTTTCCAGTGGAGGGGGATTTTGCCTCTCACCCACCTCCCTGAACGAGTGACATCTGGCATTCTCTGCACACAATTTGGGTTTTCACAACTGGGGAATACTACTGGCATCGAGTGGGTAGAAGCCATTGTAGGAATGGGCTAAACGTCTACAATGCACAGGAATATCTCCAGCAACAAAGAATAATCTGGACCAAAATGCAAATAGTGCTAATCTAATGGCAGAAATTTCTAGCCCCCGTTTAGTAGAGAGGTGTGTGGAGGTGTTTCTGTTTTTCTTAATCTGAGTGGGACAGTAATACTAAAATAAGAGGTGGCCAGCAATCTGTGTATTTATTCCAACTAGGCTTGGTCTGGTAGCAAAGAAAGTCCTTATTTCTGCTTCCAAAAAAGAATGTGACCTCCCTTACCCTGAAGGAGCAGGGAAGTCTAGCATTTCATTTTGTTTCTCTGCTTAGTAACTCCCAGAAATTTATAGTGTATGTAAAAATATGTTAATATATTTACATCTATTTATATATACATATGAAATATGACTATAACATGAAATTTTGACGTATGAACTGTGGAAATGATCTCTTTACTTCATAGCTATATCATACATGCAGACACGCACATAAATTTGTTTCTAGCTGGTTCAATTTGCAAAACTACTTCCCTAATTCTCTCTGTGCACCAGTGCCCAGTCCAATGGTGCGGTACTTCGTTTGAGCTTTATGTATCTGAGACACTCTCATCTCTGGGTCTTCAAAGTTGATTTGGAATGCATGCTATCGAAGCCTTCACATTCTTCATGCATTTAAAACAGAGCTGTAGTTGGAAATTTCTTCCACAGATCCACCTCTAGTGTTTCTAATTGACAAGCTCAGGAAGGAAGAGGTGAGGTAAGCTGTTAGCTGTAGAGAGAGGCATTCTCAATCCTTTCGCTCTGACATTTTGCAAGCTCACAGGCTAATTAATCAATTTCATTAAGAAAGAGAGCATGTTGCTATGGTATCACGAGGCATGTTTATACTGCCACATGAAGATTTCAGAGTATTTTTAATTTTTAATTACCTACTTCCATTTTTTTTTTATTGAATTGGTAAAGACCTTAAATTTTTTTTTCCTTTTGATTATGTGATTTTTCTGCCAGTGTTTTCTGAGCTTGAGGTACTAATTGAAATAGAGCTGCCTCTCTTCTTTGAGAAGAAATAAGATCACCTCTGGAGCCCTGGTTCTGTGCAAGATTTGATTAAAAAGTTCCACGGAGGACATTGTACCAGCTGGCCTTCAATGCATGTGCTTATGCACAAGAAGCTGCTCATTTATCGCCAGAGACATGACCCAGGAGGAGTTTTATCTATAATGGATGTAACATATGCTTGCAAGGATTCAAAATATTTCCAGAAACATTTTCAGTTCTAGCTTTTTCTTTCCTACAGCATCACAGAAATGTTTAGTGTTAATGATAAAACAGGTGACTTTTTGCCTTAGACAATAGTTTTCTGGGAGTGTCGAGAGAATTAAATATGCCCAGGTTCATTTAAAGAAGCCATTAATTACTTGAAGTAACAGGTAACCCTGATTATTCAAAGAGCCCTTTTCCATCATGTTTTCTAGCTCCTAGTCATTCAAGGGATGAGTGAAGGTAGGGAGAGAGAGGGTGCAAAGTAGCTTTTGAATTAGATCAGACTGATACTTTATTATTAAAGTAGACCAGGAATAACATAATAAAGACAAATCAGACAGAAACACTCTCCTGTATCTTATGAAGGATGTGAAATTGTGTGCAGTAATTCTTTTTTCTTTTCTTTTTCTTTTTTTTTTTTTTGATTTACTATAAAGTGTTTGTGCTTAGGGGGATTTGGAATCTTATTAAAAAAGAAAATGAATACATGGAAAATATAAATGTGTGTCTTTTATAAGAGGCAGTCTAGCTAGTGTGTCCTCCTCTGGGACTTATTTATGCATTGTTATTAATGCTTAATCTGTGGCTTGAATCATAATGTTCATTTATAAGATGTGCACATTTATAAGATCTGTATTACTGAAGCTGACACCTTGGGTTTTTCATGTAGCTCAGCACTGCTAGTGGTGCTTTTGGAAAGAGCCACTTCTTTAAGGACAAAGGTAGTGTCCCAGCAATGCAATCTATAAAGAACATCATAGAAATAGAGTGCCTTTCAGTACGGAAACCTACTGGAATTCTCATTTCCATGTGCAGACTGGCCTGTGAGCTGCCTTGTGACCTGAGTTGGCCACTGTCAAGTTTGTGATGATTCTGTCCTCTTAGATTTGACATGAGAACAACAATTAGAATTGCCTGATAGGATGACAGGACAGCCAGTCTAGGTGACTGAGAATCCAGCTCTGTAGTATAAAAAGTGCTCTATTTTCAGCTATGTCCTGTATTCCAAAAAAAAAAAAAAAAATCACACACTGAAAAAAGTACTAAAAAGCTGTCAACACATTGTTTCGTGGAACATTTTAAGTATGTTTGCTGCTGCTAGTAGCCTTTAAGATAGGATAAAAGTATTATTTGAAGTTGGACTTTTGGCCAGGATGATCCATCAAGGTTGAATCGATGTTGTCTAGTACTGCATTTAGGTCATACAGCACGTGACCTTCAGCTGCGACTCCAAAGACAGTACAGACTCCAAACCCTCTGCAATTTAACAATATTAATTAAACTAGTATAGTTTCTTAAATGTTGGGGCTTGTGCTAGGGCTGGAGATACTACAAAACGTAAGACATAGTTCCTGCTTTCAAGAGCTTAGACTCCTAGATAAGACGGATGGAAGGACACAGATAAGAGAAGTAATTGAGGTAAATGTTCATATAGTTAGCTTATTTGACTTTGGTTTGGAGTCAGGGTTTACTGCACATCTATTCCAATTTGCAATAGGAAGTTGTCCTAGGAAATGAGTATTTAGTTCCTCTCCCAGTTGTTTTAGGAACATGTTGGAGGGTTGATCTAGCCCAGCACTTTCCTCTATGACATCCTGAGGGGCAGGTTGGTGTTAGTGATGAAGGGATTGGGGTTTGAGGAAGAAGAGGTACAGGGACAAAGGCTGGGAGGCAGGCTGGGAGATCTGGTTTGTGGGGAGCTGTGCTCAGATTGTGCATTTGTCATAATGGGAAAGTGACGTGGGGTTAAGAATCATCTGTTCATTGATTTACACAGGCAGAGACTCTCCCTGGAGTGTCTCAAATGCATGCAGTGTGCATGAACACTGGATTGGGATCAGTGAGCTGAAAGATGCAGAGCAGCACACATGGCTGGATGAATCCCTGTGGATTGTGGACGGGAAGAACCGTGAGCACTGTTCGTTTTAGAAGGTAGGAGCCATAGTGGGTGTTTGGTGAGGCTGGGTGGCTGGCTCTGAAGCCAGATTTAGCTGTGGCTAAATGACCTTCCATGGAAGTCATGCAGGGTCATTTTTTTTGTTTTGTCTCTCAATTTAAGATTTATGTGTTAAACATAATCACATAATCCCAGTTCCGTTGCTCACTTTCAAAGCAATTAGAAGTCTTAAGTTGATGTTGTTCTAGGTGAGCCATATATACACCAGAAGTTCAGCTTTTATTCCACTTTGGAGGAAGATGTATATGTGAAAGTGTGATGAGGACTCAGAAATCTAGGGAAAGTGACAGAACAGTTTACCCTTCACCTTTGTAGTTGGCAGGGTTTTTATTCAGAGAAGGTGGTGCTTTTTATTCCTTGACAATTACATTTTACCTTCCCATGAAGAAAATGATGCTGAGCCTGGGTGTGGTGCTGTCTGCACTCTGATGTTTTGAGTAGGCATTTACCCCAGGCCCTGAGCAGTGTGCCAGGAGTTAGCATGCTGACCTCTGGCTGGGGGAGGCCAGCGTTTTCTGGATATAGAGCCCTGTAATAGGAATGATGATGGGGACAGAGGACCCAGTGTTTCCACAAGGGCAGGCGCCTTCTCTCTGCAAGAGGCAGCGGCACTGAATGAGATAGCACTTGTTGGCAAGGAGCCAGACTCTGGAGTTGGCATCTCAGCCCAGGTGCAGTTATCTGGTGGGTTGTCATTTAATCTCCATGCCTCAGTTTGCTTCTCCTCTTATCATTAAAATTGAGCCAGTAATACCTGCTCCACCCTCGTTATAGGACTATTCTAAGTTCCAATGGGATGATGATTTAAAGTACTCAAAAAAAATGTAAGTTAAATTTGCATAAGTAAACATGTACAGTCATATTATATTGTGGCATCAGGGCTCTATCAATTATTTTTATAGACAATTGAATATTATAGCTTGAATTCAAGCATTTAAAAATCACCACCGTTAACCTACTGTATAGCACAGGGAACACTACCCAATACTCTGTAATGACCTGTATGGGAATAGAATCTAAAAAAAGAGTGGATATATGTATATGTATAACTGATTCACTTTATTGTACAGCAGAAATTAACACAGCATTGTAAATCAACTTTATTCCAATAAAAATTAAATAAAAAACAAAAAAGAATATAAAAAAATTATCACCCTTTAATAAAAAAAGATCTTTCAAAATGCATGGCACTTTTTATGGCCATTAAAACTCAGGTGACACTGAACATGAGAGTCTAAACAAGGAGTTGGTAAGTGCTTTTCTGTAAAGGGCCAGACAGTAAATATTTTGTTTTGTGGGACATACGGTCTCTATCACAACTACTCAACTCTGCTGTTGTAACACTAAAGTAGCCACAGAAACATCGTTGACCAGTGAGTGCAGCTGTGCTTCAAAAAAACTTTATTTCCATAAACAGGCATTGAACTGAATTTGGCTTATATGGGCTGTAGTTTGCTACCCCCTGGCCTAGCCTAACTTTAAGGGCTTGGGGAAATGTAATTAAACCATCTTCCTGGGCGAAAAACTGGGATATTTGTGAAGAACATGTTTAGCTGATTGGGAGCAAGCATGGGAGAAGCAGCTGGTACAGGTTAGCCAGTTTGGAAGGTGATGATCATTAATGGGGTATAATGGATGAGGGTAAGGGAATTAATGGTGTTTTTAAAGGAGTGATTATTTAGACGTTAAGCTGGGTAACCCAAAGAGTGAGGAGGTAAGGGGGTGAGAGTGGTGAACATTGTTGGGGTCATTAGCTTGGTGTTTTTGATGAAGTCAAGCAGTCTTGAAATGGGAATAATAATAGGAGTGCACTGGAAGGATAGGAGATGGTGGTAAGCGGGCGTGAACTGGAAATTCTTGGAAGCGAATTCCCACTATTATATATTATGGGATTGGCGGGGGAGGCAGGTAGAGGTGAAATAGGAAAAAATAACTTACTAGAGGTGAGGAGGTCAAGAAACAGAGAGGCCAGGATGTTGAATGGCTCATCCATGGAGTTATTGAAAGCATCAAGAATGATACAGAAGTAGAGAGAAAGACAGTAAACTAGATCTTAAATCCATTGGTAAATGAAGGGGAGTTCCTGAGAGGTCTGTAGGGTTGTGAGAAAGTCTGAAGCTAAGGACTTGAAGTATTTTGGAGTAAGGGAAGAAAGATGACAAATGGTCTGGCAGCAAATACTGTGGCAAACACTGCCTAGATACGCACCAATCCCATTAGTGCTTCTTCCTGAGCATACAAACTATATTTTTTAAGCCTTCCCTGTAATTAAGTGTGGTCAAGTGATACAGTTCTGGTCCATAGAATGAGGATGGAAGTATGCTCAGCGCTTGCAAGCCTGTCCCATAGGAACCTTCTATGTGCAGTGCTCCATTGTCTCCCTTGTCTGCTTGACGGATGCAGAGGATCCTGGAGGCCTCTCAGACCCTGGGGGATGATGAGAAAGTAAATGGAAGGATCCTGGGGTCCTGAATATTTGCTGCTTTTAGTCACTAGGCTGGACTTTACCTGAGCAAGAAAGAAACTTCTATGGTGTTAAGTCCCTAGCATTACTTAATCTAATACACGTACTCTAGGTTCCAAAGTACATGGAGTGTGAGAAAAAAAGAAATAAAAAAAAACAAAACAAACTTAAGAGATCTTCAAGGGAAGTAGTATCATCTGGAGACGACCAGATGTCTAATTATGATAATATTATTGACCCTAGCAATAACAGCAGCAGTGACAATCCCACCACCACCTATCTGAGCCTTTGGGACCTCTGTCCTAGGTACTGGGAATGCAGCTAGAGATTGTGATGGCTTTTGGTGTTGAATCTGTTGTCTCATTTCCTGTTAAAACCCAGGCATTTTTCGCAGGGACTGCTATTTTTCCCTTGTCTCTTTCATTTCCACTTGCTCGGTTGCAGTTTTCAGATCGCAAATACAAACACGTTTGGTATCCTTCTCGCTACCTCAGTTTCCCCAGAGATCACCATGGCACTTGGCATACTACTCTGCTATTTCCTTCATAATTGCCTTAAACTTCAGTTTCCTTACTTGTGAGATAGGAATAATAAACAATACCTCAAAGGGTTGGTGTGAGGAGTAAATAACATGATTCCTGTGAGTAGATCACTTAGCACTTTGTGTCCAGCACAGAGTAAGCCTTCATTAAATGTCAACTATTATTATGATTGGTTGTTCAAGAATTTTAATTGATCCAAGCCAAGAAGAGAAAATTATTTAGAGCAGTTATTCACAAAGTGTGTTCCCCAGACCAGCAGCATCAATACTAAAATTCTTGGGCTCTACCCCAGTCCTACTGAATTAGAAACTCTGGAGGTGGGGCCCAGTAATCTGTGCTTCAAAAAGCCCTCTAGGTGGTTTTGATACATGCTGGAGTTTGAGAACCATTTCTTTACAGGTTTTAGCAATGCTTATTTTTTCATTTGAGAACCTTCTAAGGAGAATCCATTTAATTCTTTAAAACATTCAGAATAAGAGCAGAAAAAATACTCCAAACCATGAAACATTACTGTCTTCAACTGCAAGCAGGAAGTGGCAGAGTGTCGGGGAGAGAGTGTGACCCTGGGATCTGACCTTGTGTCTTGGACCCACACAACTACCCCTTTAGTTTGCCTTGTTTTCACCTATACTACAGGATGTATTTCACAGGCCAGTGACCTTGCAGTGTAAATGCCAGCAAGGCCAGGTTGTTAGCGGGTTTATAGCTATAACCCCTCACTACAAAGGGAATGGTCAGATGGAATTATTTTGCCGTTTGAAGTGGAGGTGCTAGTTTAAAAGCTATTTGGCTCTTGGAGCCATCTTCTTAAATTTCTTGGTGCATGGCTCAGAATCTGGGCCCCAGATCCAGAATGGCTTGTCTGTGACTTTTTTGGATCAATGTCCCATTTGTGCTTTCAATCTGGCTGTCCTCTGCCTTTGAGCTAGAGTAGGTCTTAAGGTGTGTTTTTTTTTTTTTTTGGGTGTGTGTGTGTGTGTGTGTGTGTGTGTGTGTGTGTATGTGTATGTATTTTGTTTTGTTTTTAAGCCACAAATATATATCTGGTCAGCCTGAATCTCATTGGTCCTATTGTCCTATTTCTTTCCTCTCCTTGTGCCTTGCTGAGTACTGGAGCTGGGAAGGGAGGAGGGGCCTTCTAGTCTGACTTTCTTGCTCCACAGAGGGGAAACACGTCCTGAAATGTGACATAACTCCCCCCAAGGCCACACTGTTGCTCTCATTTTCAGGGTTGTAAGCCTGTCTCTCATATCTCCTCTCTCTGTCCTTTGTAAGTTGACTTTTTCTTCATGCACTTTATTTTGGCATGGATATTCCTCTTTGGGAATGGGAGCATTTTGCTGCATAATGATTTTTCTTCTAACTGTCAAATGACCGTTGTCAGTTTACTGGTTTTGGTGGTGGCAAGAATCTGTGTCTGCAGAACTGTGTCAGATACTTGTTGTGACTCATATGTTTAGGTTTCATGATAAATTTTTTCTTTAGAGTTGGATTACTTTCCTTCTCTGAAGTTATAGTTGCTTCCAGAGAAGCAACCTCATTGCTGGGGAAGAGCTGGTTGCTCCAGTGGATTTTTTGACATTCAGAGACTTTTGGTGTGGCCATCAGGGTGCAGGCCTGGTCTCCCAGGCTGTCCAGCTGGGTGGCATTCCCAATGAGCAGGTCTGAACACTAGCTTAGAATTTCAAAGATGGCTGCTAGAGCAGCTCTGGAATCAGGGTAGGCAATAGATCTCTAACTTCCTCTAACAGAATCTCCTTATCTTTCACTTGTGCTCCTTTCCCAGGTATTTTCATGATTGTCTCATCCCAGTTTAACTGATTGACTGCAAAGTTCAAGACAGAGTTGTTACACAGACTGTGTCCCCCTAAAATTCGTATGTTGAAATCTAATCCCTAATGTGATGGTATTAGGAGGTGGGGTATTAGGGAGGTGATGAGGTCATAAGGGTATAACCCTCATGAATGAG